CTCTCTCTCTCTCTCTCTCTCTTCTTATATATATTTATTATTATTAAAATATTCAATCCTAACTTAACAAAGATTCTTCATTCCTTTCATGTGACTTGAGAGAAAATTAAATTCTTTAAATAATCAATTAAAATATAATTGTAAAGCTCTATCATTCGACCTCGATAATTTGGGCTCCACTAATCCAAATTAACTTTTTCTCGAGCCTAACATACATGATTAATTACGACATATCCAGCGAGCCCAATATTCGTATACTTATTATTGCTCCATTAGTATCTATATTTTAAGCCAAATGAAATTGAAATTTACTTTAGATATACTTTAGTCCCCAAACTTTCAAAATATTAAAATATAGCACTCATAAATTAAATTCTAATCTATGAATTTTTGTGACATTACACCTCTTCTCCCTACCTGGGTTAAATTAAAGATTGATGGATGTTGCATAGGAAATCCTGGTAATTGTGGTAGAGGTGGAGTGATTAGGGCAAATAATGGGGAGTTCATCTATGCTTTTCACACTTTCTATGGTCACGGTATTAACACATGGGTGGAGCTAAAAGCTGTTTTGGAAGGCATCCACATATGTGTAGAACGAAATTTCCCAAAGATTATAATCAAAAGTGATTCTCAAGTCGTTGTGAACTGGTTCCTCAATAAACGATGTACAGGATGGATATTTTGGAAAGCATGGGAGGAGATAAATGATCTCATGATTGGAAGAGAAGTGGCGCTTAGACATGTTTTCCGGGAAGCAAACCAAGTTGCAGACGCATTATCAAAAATAGGTGGAAATATAAGCAAGACAACATTTCGTGATATGGCAGATCTTCCTGGGGCAGTTACCAACTTATTTATATCAAATAGAAATCATTTTCCATATGTACGACGTTATCTTTAAAGTCTATTTGTAATGTGGAGTTTGTTTTCATGGTATTCCTCCACCATATGTGAGGGTTGATCTATAAAATCTGGAGTTGTTTAAAAAAAAAATATGTAACACAAGAACTTTTATCATGAATTAAATGGAGGCACGTTTTCTTTCTTCTTGTTCTTAACGAACAAATCTATCAAACTTATCAGGTTAATTCTCATGGTGTTCACCAATCAAAGTGAGATTCGTGGGTTGTGTAATCACGGGGTTAGAGTATTCTTCTAATTGCTTTGGTTTCTTGGTTCATTTAATTTTCAAGTCGAACTTTAAAATTTCTGGGTTAGATTCATTAAATTATGTGGTTAAAAGGTCTACATGTCATGTTAGCTGTGTGGGTTGTTTAATCCATCGTTTTTTAGTCAAAATCCATAAACCAGTTTGTTTGGAACTTTCTTGGGCCCGATTTCGATTTCGTTGTGGGTTCCATAGTAATCTAGCTTTGCGAGTTCGCATCAGCAGTGATAATAAGAACAAATGCTACAGTATCAGAGAGGTTGACATAATGCCACATGACATTTTATCATTAGACTGTTTATAGCACAATCAAATTTTTCATCCAATCATATTTTGCCAACTTCCATTATATTAAGACATCTATCAACATCTTTATGGTAAAGTGGCTTTACCCTAATAAGAATGAATTTCATCCTTAAAGGTTATATCTTGACTAGATCTATGGCTGAGCAATGTGCACAGCCACATATTTACATTAAAAGATTCAATAGATATATGGTTCATTTTGTCTTAACGTGCTTCTGGGAGGGCAGCTCTGAAGTAAAAATGAGATATACATATGTAATTCCAAAAATCACGAATAAAAGGCAAGTGAGTGCACAAAGTTACTCAAGTAGAAGGCATTCATTATGTGCTCTCTTCCAAACATGAAGCAGGACACACTAACATTATTAGTACTAGGGTTGTCTCATAAGAAGACAACCCAAGCACACGACTTTCTTAAGTGAGGCAGAATAACTTAAATAAGCTCTTATAGAGCAATTAGACATAAGTTTAATGGCAAAGATACCAATATTCTTCGAAACGCCACATTCTATGTAGGACCAAGGCACAAAGATGCCATTTTATTTCATTGCAGCTTCTATGCGTTTTGGCTAATTTACTGCTTTGTCTCCACAACCCTTATGAGCCTCGCTGCCTATCATGGGATGTGGACTATCTTGTGGTTGCTGTGCACATTCAAGATTCAGAATTTTTGATGTCTTACCTTTGCCCTTGTCATGTGTTATATTATTTTCCATTTTATAGCATGGATCTTTAGCAGCAGATGTGTGATTTGATGTGGGGTCCAGAGTATTATACTGTTGACACTTTCCAGCCGGATCGAGTTTAGTACATATCCTCTCATGTCCACCATGCCTCTCATCCGATCCATCAGTACTACTATGATCACCATTTCTTGAAATGAGTCTAGGCTTCGTACAGGCTACAGAGTTCGAGGGCTTACCCTTGAGATGCTCCTTAGCGGAAGAGCCCTTTTGAGGAAATTGAGTGTGGTCATGCACATCGATATAAATGCTTTCAGTTTGGCTCATATGGCTCTGTTCGTTAAAAGTGGCATCATCTGGAGGATCATTGCCTTTTTTCTTCATTTCTTCAGCTGATAATTTAATATTTTCGGTGTGGACATTCCGTAGAAAACTACCCATGAATTTGAAGTACTAACTCTGTAATGGACCTGAAATTTGTGCACCCTTGCTTAAAAAACTTAATGGGTCTCTGCTTATATAGAGATTAATTTTGTTATAACACATAAAAATCCAGTGTAGTGATGATGGTATAATTCTAATATTCTTCTGTCGTCTGATTGAAAAGAATCAAATTATATATAAAGATTAAAAAGTGGATGGAGTCATTTTGGGTTGCACTAGATAGATCGGAATCTCTCTTTCCATTCCAACAAGGCAGGAATAATCACTGTTGCATGACGAGTGTGTTTTGCTCACGAGTTTTATTCCATTTTTAACTTCATTGTGAACTAGATTTTATGAGTAGTGAACGTTTTTAACGTGTTTATTTGTATTGTTTTTTAGAAGTATTGAGTTGATGCAAATCAAGGAAAGAGATAATAAAACAAAGCTATTGGCATGGATAGAGAAGAAAAGATGAATGAAAGGGGCAAAATAGTCAAACCATGACGTAGAAAGGACGAGTGGCACTACGATGCCACAATAGTGGTGCCTAGGCGCCACCATGACTGAGGTATGGCGCTATACCCGTGGGGCCGAAAGCGGCAGTAATCAGTTGGCGCTGCCAATTACTATATCTGGGTACATTTTTGGCCCATTTTGAAACATATAAAAATCCTACATTCGACAAAAGCCGTAGGAAGGAGTATAAATACAAGTTTTTGACACTTTTTGATGGGATTCCTCACATTGAGACAAAGAGAATACAACTAGAGAATGAATAGCGCAATTTAAGGGAAGAAAACTAAAGGGATTGAGAAAATGAGCAAAATAGTCTCACTATGCAAATATATATATATATATATATATATAAGTAAAACGGAAATGGGAATTACATGTGTTTTCACTTTTCATCTCTACCGTTTCCTGGGAAGAAAGGGTGTTATGGCTATTTTTCATATTTTGATTAATTTTGACGAATAAAAGTTAGACATAAGTTATAAATTGTAAATATTGAAACAACTGTGTAGGTTAGTAATTTTACCTCCCTAAAAATGGCATTTTATTAGTGAGAAAAAAAGAGTTGAATGTAAAAGTATAGAGAAGTTGGGTCCAGGCATTTGGCGATCAGCTCGTTTGCAAGTTGCAAGGCCGCCGGCCATACCACTCTTCTTCGACTTATATTTTCAAGTGACTCTTTAAATATAAAATGTCATTTATTTTAAAGAGTTAATTCTTAAAATTATGCTCTAAGAGCATAACCAAGAGACTCTTTAAACATGATATACTCTCTAATTTAAAGAGTCAACCATTAAAATCATACTCCAATAGATTCTTTAAATTAATATTTTAATTTAGCCCTTGTTTGAACCCCATTATTTGGAGATTATAATGTTTTGAATAGTATTTTTTTGAAAAATGAGTGCTTCAAAAGAAAAGAAAAGTTTTTGATTTACGTGTAATATTATTTTATTAAAGATTGTGTGGTTGAAAATAAGAGAGAAAAAAATTTAATTTAAATTGATGAGAAATAATGGGGGCCAAATGAGGGCGTAGAGAGCGATAACTCATTCTCTATAATTAAATGCACTCAAAATTTTTTAGTTTTCAATGTGGGAAAATAATAAAATAATCTAGAGAAAAGTTTCTAAAAATAAAAGATAGAAAAATAATAATTATTTTTGGAAGTATTAAATTTAAAGAGCTTGTAGGAGTACTTTAAAATTTTAATTCTCCAGATTTATAGATGCTCTCCAAATAATAGATTCTTGAAGAAGCTCTTTAAATGAAAATTATAAAATGGAGAGTGAATTTCAATAGAGAATAATATTGTAATATTTTGGAGAGAAACCAGTGAACATAAAATATAGGAAATAATAGTAAATATTTTTGTGAGTAGTAAAATTTAGCCTTTCTCTGGGGGCGATTCTCAAATGATTTTGATCAAAAGTTGGACCATTGGAAAATTACCATAAATGTCCATTCAAACAAAGTGAATTAAATGTTGAAAGGATATATAGGTAATTCTGCAAATTTTGGTCAATAAGTGTGGCCGATTCAAATCATAACAATAAAAATTTTCATTATTATTTGCTGAGTATCACTCCAAGACAGACGCTAAGCGCTAAAGATAATGAACCTATTGGAGTATTTAAAAAAAATTTACTTTCTAAATTACAAAATATGATCTTTAAAAATGGAGAGTTTTTTGGAGATGCTTACCTTATTAATTAGGTTCATAATCTAAATTAACTAAGGATGCGCCCGAACGCCTAAATAAAATCCTCAACCACAATTTCAAAGCCCTATTTTTTAAGAAAATAGATTTTGTAGTAGCGATTTTTTGGTAAATGTATCGCTGAAAAGTATGAAAAAAGTTCTGAATTTACGTATAAAATTATTTTATTGAAAAAATGAGTTCTTGAAACTGAATTTGAAGAAAAGTGAGTATTTAAATGAGATATTATTATGATCATGTCCAATTTTCAGGATTTTTATTGCACTAGCAGAATTATAGAAAGTAATGAACATTAATACACATTGGATTTTTAACTAGATGTATTTTTGAAAGAAAACAAACAGGAATCATGTTGTGAGATCTGCATAGTTGATTGCATAGATATTTATATTGATTGATAAACGTTGATAGTTAGATTTTTTTTTTTT